CACACACACACACACACACACACACACATACACACACACACACACACACACACACACACACGCACACGCACACACAACCTTCATGAAACAAAAGCAAAAAATAAAAAAATGTTTAAAAATATTCACAACTGAACACTCGGACGGGACACCAAGGACCACTACATCGTCGTCCGACCACGGATGGCCGCAGCGATTTCCAGAAGAGCGTGGCACATCATCCTCTGCGTTTCATTGGACGCCGCGTAGTGCTCTTTCTGGACTGCGACTTCCTGCTCCAGTATGTCACATTGCCTCGTGAAAATGCTGCATTGCCACTTGCTGGAGGATTCGATCGTCGACGACATCAGCTCGCCATGTCGATCCATGACATCRGCGATCGACTCCAACGCCTGCTGACGTGCATTCTTCCGCTTGCCGCCTCCAGCCCCGCTGCCTGCGTTGTTCTCGGACTCCCGCGCAGAAGAACGTTCCTCGGGGAAGCCTTCACTACCAGCCTCACTACCAACCGACTCACCACCGCCACCTCCTCTCCTGGGAAGCTGCACCCCGTAGGGATTTCCTGTGTCGGCAATGTTCGGAGGAAAAATTGTATGGTTGCCCAACATGCCAGCATGGATCTCGTTGTAAAGCGCTCTCTCCATCCGGAACTTGAAATTGTGCTCCTTCCTTTCCTCATTTGTAAGGCCGAAGAAATCAGGACGGCCGCTTGCGTTCTGAAAGCGTTGTATCTTCTTGTAGTTTTGGAATAGATTGTCCCACTTCTTCATGCAGTCGTCCGCGTCTTTCGGTTTCCCCGCGCTCGCCATGCGCTTTGCAATGTCGTCCCACTTCCAGTCCTTTGTCCGCATCCGCCCGTAGTTGTGGCCCAGCCCGGCGAGGTGCATATCTTGCTCCCGCTTGCATCTCACTAGTTGCAGTTGTTCCTCCAGAGACCAGTACGTCACAGACTTCCCGGCCTCGTCGCTGACACAGCCTCTGCCGCCACGGCCAACGGATCGACCTCGAACAGTAACCCTGCAGCGTGCTCTCCCCCTCCCACCCGTCTTCCCCAACGGCCGAACAGGAATGTCTTCGTCGTCGTCCCCTGCGTCCACGTCCTCCGTCAATCGCTCGTCAGCATCGTCGCCGCCAACACCGTCATCGTTGCCGCCATCACTGTGTGCCCGCATGTTCAACACACCTCGTGTGATGTTCTCCACAGTGGGTACTGGACGCACCGGTGGTCTGCATGCACCCGCGTCCCTCACGTCGGATTGGGTCGGTGTTGTGCGTTCGGGCATTGAAGGACGTGCACACTCGACGCGCGGTGACCCGGCTGCGGCTCCGTTGCATGCAGGCCAGTTACTTGTCGATCGATCGGCGGACGGTGCTGTGGAACCTTGACGCCGGAGCACTGCAGATGGCCCGACACTGGCAGCGACGGACGCACGGGCACGAAGGGTGGTTTGATCTGTACGCTGACTCCCACCCTGTCCCACGCCACGTGGCGAAGGATCGGTGTCGATGATCAACGTACGACTCGCCTCCTTGGACCCGCCAAAACATAAGCCGAACCTGAGATCAAGTCCTCCGTCATCGTCGTCTCCCAAGCCTTGCTGCAGCAAAGATGTGTACTCGCCGCCTTCGTTGCAACCCGAACCGCCTGCTCGTACCGTCTGCGACCAAAGCTGCGTCGAGCCGCTGGCAAGAGGCAACGTTGGGAGTTCTTCCGTCTCGGGCTCCTCGTCCGACGGGGGCAGCGGCGTCTCCCACGACTGCAAATGGGCGTACATGGATGGGTCGTACCGCTGTGGAGGCTCCGCCGTCGCAGCTCGTATTCCGCCCTGACCCGCACCAACACCCGCGCGTCCCTGCATGCGCTCCTGCCGACCGTTTCGTCGACGCCCTCCTCTTGCGATGTTGTTTCCACGGGGGCCACGACAAACACACGTGGAGGAAGACGACAAGTAGGAAGACGACAATGGCGAGCACGAGCAGAGGAAATCTCCTCCCCACGTCAGCCATCAAATTCACCACCAACCCCAACTGCGCACCCGACTGCTACTGCACCACACTGCTGTAACATGCGGGGGGAGTCGCGCCCGGTGGACCTTCATATGCCGACAACAGCCAGAGAAGACAACGAAGGTGGCAGCATGCGATTCAAAAAACGACCGTTGCCGCCACCACTCGGAGCCCGCGCCACCGTGCGTCGTGGAGAGACCGACGTTGTCCTCCACCGTCACTAGCAACGTCGAGACAACGGTCCACTACGGCCGGCAGCCCACAGACGGTCGCCAGACCCCGCAGCCCCACCCCAACCGCCCCGCTCGCCACGGGCTGCCAACGGCTACCACCGCTGGCCGTTGCCGGCCTCGGCCCGCTCCAAAACTCCGATGTCCGACCGCCCACCCGACGGACCGCTACTGGACCAGCAACCCTGTGGCGACGGTGCCATGCGCGCGACGCACCGACTCCGTGATAATCGGGAATCCTAAATTTTTCAGTAGCTCCGGGGATACTGGAAAATTTAGGACGATTTGCCTGGGGAATCCTAAAACTTTTAGGACGAGTCCTTACGCCGTTTTCACATTTTCGATTCCCGCGGCCGATTTAGGATTGTGTGCAACCAACACGCAATCCTAAAAACTGGTACTTTTAGGAGTGTCTAACGAGACCCTTAGCTTGGAAGAATGGATGGCTACTGAGAAGCTAAACCGGCTGATGCTGCCGGGATAACTCCAGGTTGAATTGTGAGGTCCCCGGCCTCCCCTAAGTTTGTCTTGTAATGAATGTGAGTTTCAAAAAAAAATTAAAAAAATAAAAATAAAAAAAATTGCAAATGACAAAATCCCTACTGTGCACAATACCGATAATCCTAAGGAAAAAAAATACCCCAGCAAAAACAAACCCTACAAAGGCAAAGCCTACCACCATTGAATATCAGCCAACCCTGAGATCCACCCTGGCACCCGCGCCGCAGGGGTCTGTGACCACAGACCCCGCTAACCCACCCACCTCCTCGCTATTCAAAGCAGATCACTCCAACCCCCACATTTCCTACCCTAAAACACCAACTCCCTACATGATGGTGCATCAGCAAACCCTCAGAAATATCACCATTCACCACATGCACAAAGGAAAAAAAAAACATGGGGGTGTCGACCAGATTTTCCGCGTAGCTCCACTTAGGTTCTAGGCCCTTGCTGCACCACTCACCACTCTCTTTTCCGCGTAGCTCCACTGCTCTCGGGGGCAAGGTCCCACTTGCGCAAATTAGGAGATTTCGGCCGTTGATCTTTTTTATATCTACGGTCAGTGGAGCTAGCCCCCGCTTAGGGCCTGGCTGCATGTGTGAGGGAATAAATAAAATCTGGAATTAAAATAAAAATAAAAATCTGGCAATGTATCTTTCCATGTTCTAGGAGAAAAAGCATTCTCATTTTGCACATTTGGTGAGTAATGGAGCGAGGCCCTATGTCAGACTGATTCTGCACGGGTCATTGCACTCCCACGAACACAGAAGCGAGGTCCCATTCTCACATTTCCCCCGCAGAAAGTTGGGTAGCAATGGGTCTCGGTCTACCAATCTACCACTCTCCACTATCTACTCTCAAGCCCAGAGCGGGAGAGTGTCTCCAGCCCAGAGTGGGAGAGTGGGAGAGTGGTAGAGTGGTAGAGAATGGGAGAGTGGGAGAGTGGTAGAGAGTGGGAGAGTGGGAGAGTGTCTCCAGCCCGGAGTCGGAGAGTGGGAGAGTGGGAGAGTGGGAGAGTGTCTCCAGCCCAGAGTCGGAGAGTGGTAGAGAGTGGCAGAGTGGTAGAGAGTGGGAGAATGGGAGAGTGGGAGAGTGGGAGAGCGTCCTAGAGTGGCAGAGCGTAGACCGAGACCAATTGGTACCCACTTGCTCCTACGTGGATTTTATCCATCATTGTTGCCCTCCTCCCCTTCTCTCTCCTCTCCTCCCCTCCCCTCCTCCCTCCCCTCCCCTCCTCCCTCCCCTCCCCTCCCCTTCCCTCCCCTACCCTTCCCCCTCAGTACCTCAAAAGACAAAAAAAAGTGCATATCTGGGTCATGTTTCCTTTCTCGACATCTCACTTTATTTTTTCCGATCCCGCTTTGGATTTTTTTTTTTTTTTTTTTTTTTGGATATCCCGCTTTGGAATTGATTTCACATGTCACTCCCAAAGATTTGGCATCTCAAAAAGTACCTCTCTCAGCCCCATTTGACCGCAGCATTCATGTGAGGGACGCCGCGGGCCCGCTTCCCGGATTTAATTGAAATTTGTTTCAAAAAAAAAAAAAAAAGCAACAACCTAAAAAAAAAAAACAAAAAAAAAACAGCAGCAATAAAGATCTCGTTTTGGAATCCTTGATGATTCGTACCTACGCATCGACCAACTGCTGAGGGGAGGAAGGTAACTTAGTCAAAAAAAAAAAAAAAAAAAAGTTGAGGTGAGGTACGAGGTAGGTGGCCGGCGGAGACGTCAACGTACGTACGGACGTACCTGGACAGAGTTCCACTGATTCCGGGGATTGTGTGTTTCTGCCGATTGACTCGTGTAGGCTATATACCTTTTGTTCATTTGCTTTTTTTTTTTTTTCCCCGTGTAATCTATATCTATGGACTAGAACGAATCAATGTGCTTCTTGAAAAAAATAAAATAAAATTAAAATCAATGTGCTTGCATATTATGTGTCGGGCCCCTCAGCCCTTTTTTCCTCTCCCAGGCCAACCATGGCCTACGTTAGACGTGACGTGTCCATTCTTCCTTTTGTCTTTTAACGTGTCAGCTTCGGCTCGATTCGCTGGGGACTCTCTCTCTCTCTCTCTCTCTTATGTTTTTCTGTTCTTTCTCTCTCTCTCCGTGTCTTAACTTCTTCTCTCTCTCTCTCTCTCTCTCTCTCTCTCTCTCTCTCTCTCT